CCGGCTTCATCGACGGCCCCCTTGCGCCGAAAAGACGCGATCCGCCCCGCCACAATTTACGAGGCACGCCTGTCGACCGCGCAGCCCGAAGCCCCGACAGTCGACGGCGCCACTGCCGAGAAACCTGAGGCGCGAGCGAGGCTCGGATCTCAGATGGCGAATGGGTTCGCGCAGCGGCGCGCTTGGCGACAGCGGGCGCGGGCGGCGCAGACGGGAAGGGGGGGGATTGCCGGGAGAAGCGAGCGAGGACAGATAGGTCGGGCAAGGGAAAAAGAGCCGCGAGGGCGGAAGGGCGACGAGCTCGCAAAATGACACGGGGCAGCGGGGCACATCAGGGGTCGACGCAAAATACGCGGGGGATGTTCAACGGAAGGAGCTGAATAATGAAGGGAAGAATTGCAGGCGAGCAGAGGGCCGAAGAATGCGCGGAGGCCGGCGGCGCCGACGATCGCGCGGAAGCCACGCGTGGAAGAAGGGCGGCGCGATGAGCGGGGGGGGAAAAGGGCAAGGGGAATGATAAAACAAAACCGTTGGGATGATGACGGCAGGAAGACGACGCACTCGCGAGCGCGAAATGGGTGGCCCGAGCGGCCGCTGATGTGCCGGTGGGCACCGCGACGCGCGCCATCATGCCCCTGAAAACTGTTTTTTGGGGCGGGCGCGAACTCAAGCCCAGACGGCGCCAACAAAAATCCGGGCAAGGCTCGGGCCCCGCCTTCGGGCAGCCCCGATGGATCGATCCTGGTTCGCAAATCACCGAATGAACAATGAATGACGCCGCAGGCTCCGTCGAATGAGAACCCTGGAAGCCCGCCAGGCCCCGCCAAAAAAACTGGCCACGGCCCCCAGGCTCCGTCCAAGAACGCGCGTTCCAGCCCCCCCGCCCCCGCCCAAAAACCGTGCCCCGGGAAGTCGCCCAACGGCCTCGCCAAAAATTGCGCCGCAAATTTTTCCGATAGCATTGCCGGAAACCTTTGCCAAAAAATCTTCTCCAATTTCTTTTCTACCTGGAAACTGTAAAAGAGATGCCAGAACAATCGGCGACGATTTCCCGGGCCCCTCGCCGGGCTCCCGGCCAGGCAGGAGAATAGCGAACAAGGGCGCCGGCAACGGCGCGGGGGCAGAGGCCGGGGGGGGGGGGGCGAGCGGCGGTCGAGATGGAGGAGAAGAAGAGGGAGGAGGAAAGAAGAAAAACAAAGGATGAACAGGAAGGGGGGAGACAGAAGGCGGGGGGGAGGGGAAAGGTGAGGAGGGGGGGGGCAGAGAAGGAAAAGCAGGAGAATGGACAACGCAAAGGAAACGCGAAGGAAGAGAAAAAGGAGGGGCAGGGGGGCGAGGCGGGAGCACGAGGAACCAGAGGCTGAACAGGACGAGGAGGAAGAGAGAGGCAAGGAGCTTGAGAACAAGGAACGCGAGGGCGACAGCGGCGGGGGGGGCGGGGGCCGAGAGGGAAGGCAGAAGAACAACGAGGTGAGTAGAAGGACAACTAACACAAAAAAACATGAGAAATGTCACGCGTCGCAATGGAAGCACGACGGCAGGGGACAACGGAAGTAGAAACACGAGGGGCCTGACGAAAAGGAGAAGGGATACGATAGGCAAGAAGTGATGACGGCAGGGGAGGGCCACGGGAAGACATGCTTGGAGACGCCCCAGGAATGGAGAGGACGTCACCAACCCCAATCACAAGATAGGAGAGGAAGGGGAGGAGGAGGTGGGGGAGGAGGAGGGGAGAGGGATGGGGGAGGAGAGAAGGAGGAGGAGGAGGAGGAGGAGGAGGAGGAGGAAGAAGAAACTGAGAAAGGAAACGGAGGAGGAGGAGGAGGAAGAGGAGGAGGAGGAGGAGGAGGAGGAGGAGGAGCAAGCGAGAGGAGGATGAGGAGGAGCGGACGCACCGCGCATGTGGCGCACTTCGTGAAACAGAGCCACCCATGGAAACGCCAGGCTCCTCCGACGCGCAAAAAAAAAAAAAAAACAAGCGGGCTACGACGACATCGCTGACTTTTCTGGGGGTACCGTTGAACGCCCCAATATCGCGACGCGGCCGAAGCGCGGCCGCAAAACGCCGACGATGCGGAGCAGGAGCGCGAAGCAACACCCACCATAACGGTGGGCAATCCCAGCGAATCCGCAGAACTCGCGTGGCCCTACATTCGCTGCGTCATGTGCATGCATGCGTGCATGGGCACAACCCAATATTCATATCGCGTGCTCTTGCGTCTCGCCCGTGGCAGCCATATTCCAAGAAATGTGTTTGGCGCGTTGCGAGCGGAAGCCCGCTGGCCTGCGCACGTCGCAGGAACAGCAACAAACGCCGCGCATCTACGCGCGCTGGGCGACGCAGCGCGGAGGCGGCACGATGTCGGCCCGATCGCTTTGAAGCGCGAATGCGCACCGCAAGATGAGCACAACGTCCAAATTGCACCAATTTAAAGGAAGCCGAAAGGACCTTTCCCCGCCGCGGGTCGCCGAATCTCGGAAGGCACGCCAAACGCATAAAAAAATGTCTAAAATAGTTTCCGCTGTCGGTTGGACCTGAGATTTCGCGCGCGGGCCCCTCGAGCTCCGGGCCGTCCAGCTTCGACAGCTGCTCCTTCGGCCGGCCGCGCGTCGTTGTCCGCCTTCGACCGCAGAGCACGCTGAGCCCGGCTGCCCAGCACCTTCGCCTTCGCGATCGCGTCTGCCGCGCCGCCCGAGGCGGGGGCATCGGCCGGCGCCGCGGGGGGGCCGAGCGCCCGCCGCAACTGCGCAGCCCGCGCCGCGGCATAGTCGTCGAGCGACTCGAGCTCGACTCACACCACGGCCACGCTGACCACCTGCACGATGGCGATCCCTGCGGAGCCCGCCACGGCCACCGGGTCAGGAGTCTCGGCCCCGAGCGGGAAGCCGCGGGCGGGGTTCGCCACCGGCCAAACACTGGGCCTCGCGGGCGGGGGCAGCGGGGTGGCGGCGCCGCCCTCGACGTCCTCGCCGCGGTGCGAGCCCCACAGAGGCGTTCGTGTGCCTCCGACGGGCTCGGGCGCCTCAGGCTCGTCGGCCAGCGCGGGCAAGGGCGCCTGCTGCTTGCCGCGCGGCCGCCGTGCATGGCCAGCCGCGGGAGCCGCTCCGTCGGCGAGGGCGTCCCCAGGCGCGGCCACTGGCACCTCCATCGCGGCGCGAAAAGCAGCGGCGCGGGCGACCAGCCTCTGCGCGAGCGACGGCGCGGCGTCGCCCGAGCGCGTCCTCCCGTCGTAGAAGAGGTTGGCGTCGGTCTCCCGCACGCCGCGCGGCAGGGCCCTCGACCGCGGTAGCACCGTCACGCGGCGGAACACCTCCGGGTCCGCGTAGATCTCATCGTACACGTCGAAGTCTGGGGTCGCCGAGACCCAGTGCTCACGGAAGCGGCGAACTACCTGGCACAGCAGTCTCTCGTGATGCAAGTCGTCCCCGTGGTACTGCACCAGCAGCCGCGTGCCCTCAGTGAGGGACTCCAGCCCTGCTGGCCCCAGCATTGCGCCGCCTTTCCTGCGCCGCGCGCCGCTCCTCGCTCAGCACCGCGTTCGCCTCGTCGTCGTCTGACCCTGCTGTCAGGGCTCCTGCGCGCTGCACCCCAGCACCGCCAGCAGCCTCGCGCCACGCCCACCGGGCGGCGCGGTCAGCGGCCAACCCCACGGCCACGCCGAGGAAGAAAAATCCTCCTCCCGCGAGTCCTGGGCGCCCAACAGCCCAGCGGCCTGCGGGCAGTCCACGGGCTCGACTGGCACCCCGGACGAGCAGGTGGGCGAACCGCACACCACGTCCGGGCAAGGAGCGAAGGGCACGGAGGGCACGATTGCAGGGCCGAGTAAGGTGGAGGGAGAGATGGGACAGCTCTCGGAGCATTCCTCCGATCTGGACCATATTCATCAGCGATTGAGCGCAGAAGGCATCGGAACGGATGCGAGCTCAACCGATTGAACCGATGGCGGAGCCCCGCCCGCTTTACTCAGGATGCCCGTGCACAAAACTACAATCTCACTTTCGATCTCAATGGGACACCACGGGACACCACGGGACACCACGGGACACCAGCCGATTTCAGTATCGATACCACTATCGATCTCACTTTTTGGGACACCGCAGGACACCTCAGCCACTGTCGATCTCATTCAACGGGACACCACGGGACACGACGGGACACCTGTCGATCTCACTATCGATATCACAATCGATCTCACTTAACAGGACACCACGGGACACCTCGGGGCAACACATCGATCTCAGTATCGATATCAACATCCATCTCACTATCGATCTCACTATCGATCTCACTCAACGGGACACCACGGGACACCACGGGACACCGCGGGACACCGCGAGCCACCTCTGGACGGACGGACGGACGGGCGGGCGGGGGAGAATCATTTGTCTTGACTTCGCCCTAGCAGCGGCGGAATCTACGGGACACCACGGGACACCGCGGGACACCGCGAGCCACCGCCGAACGGGCGGGCGGAGGAGAATCATTTGTCTTGACTTCGCCCTAGCAGCGGCGGACACCACGGGACACCACGGGACACCTCGGGACATCGCGAGCCACCGCCAGACGGGCGGGTGGAGCATAATCATTCGTCTTGACTTCGCCCTAGCAACGGCGGGTTCATTCCTCTCGCGCGCCCACGCAGCTTCGCCTCGCCCGCACGCACGACACGAACGAAACGAAACGATTTCCTGGTTGGGGGTCTCAGTTCCATGCGATCTCACCCGATATACATACACACTAAAAAATCCCATTTGCAAACATGTATCAGACGCCCCGAGAGCCCTCCGAGGAGACCCCAAGAGGCATCTATTGGAACTCTGACCCAAAGTCAAAGCACGCTGGCAGAACATCGTCGTCGTCGTCATCGTCGTCGCCGTCGTCCTCATCGACGCTCCCAGCCGCCGCCGCCCGCCGCCGCAGGCGCCGGCGCCGGCCCAGAAAACGAAGTCGTCGCCCCCGCCGCCGCCGCCAGCCCCAACCCCCCCCTCCAAGCGACCACAGAACGCGCAATTTCTTAGGTCAAGAACGCCTGAGGCAAGGGTGGCCAGTAGTAGTCGGAAATGTGATGGAGATGGTGATTGTGAGGTCTTGGCCAAGCAACCAACCTATGGCGCGCCTCCTGCTTCACACTCTCAAGGAGACTGTGCTGGACGTTGTCTGCCAAAGGTCTGCAACTTCTTCCAATGTTCTTGGGCGACCTTCCGCGTGTTCTCCAGCTTGCCGCGGTCACCGACGAGCAGGCTCTCTTGGAAACTGTTCAAGGCCTCGATGGTCCTGATCTTCCACCCAACATCTCCTGCACAGGAGAAACACACAACACATTGAATACGTTCAGACAACCTTGGTGGTTCCCCCTTCTGCCCCCCCCCTTCGCATATTGGCGCCCGAAGCAAATCTAACAAACATTGTCGACCCTGGCTCCAGGCGTCGCATCCTTCATCTCCTGCCACAAGATCGACGCCCTCTCCCGGTGCTGCCCACCGTGTGGATGCGGGTGCAGACCACTCAACCGTGTGCCTGTGATCTCCTGGCCCTCGGCCTCCTCGCCTTCCGCTGGGACCTGCTCCGCGTCGTGCTCTGCGCGAGAGCCCGAGAAGCCAAACCTCTTCAGCATGACCTCTGTCGTGCTGCCGAATACGACCAAATAGACGCATATTATCAAGAACGTCGTGTTGATAATGGCCGCCTTGTAGTCGCACCACTCCGAGTCGATCTCCAGCGCAAGGACCAGCGCGATGCCACCACGGAGCCCGGCATGCCACATCATGACCTGATGAGCGAACGTGAGCTCCTGGCTTCCTGGGGCGCCAACCTTTCGCTTCACAGCGTTGGAGATGAACGCGCACGTGGAGGTTGACAGTCCTCGTGCTGCTAGACAGATGAATACCGCAAACAAAGCGAACCAGACAGCCCGTACGGAGCTCACCAATGCAGACGAGACACCACACACCATGAACACCATCGTGTCGGACATCTCGGCCGCGACCTCCAAGAAATGGCTGGTCGTCTCCAGCCCGGCATCCTCAAGCAACTGCGACCCATACATCCTGAACATCATGCCCGCCCACAAGTTCGAAATGATGCCGGACAGCCCCATGCCTTCAGCGAGGGCGAATATGAACCACGCGCTCCCCGCAATGTACAGCGTCTCTGGTACAGTGTTGCCAGGCAGCCTTGCGCAACGCAGGAGGAATATTAAGACGCACGAGGTGACGTGTCCGAGGGCCCACGACCCAAACAGGAGCTTTAACACCTGGAGCGCAATGTGGTATGCTGTCAAATTCCCCCCTTCGTTCAAGGCCTTGAAAAGGACGATGGCAACCGCATCGTTCACCACTGACTCCCCAAATATCATCGTGTGCAACAGCGGCTGCGACACGTCGAGTCCGAGCTTTGCGAGGGTGCTGAGTGTTGCAACTGGGTCTACAGCGGAGATGAGGGCAGCAAATGCAAAATTCGAACGAACATCATCTACCATGTGGAATTCGTACGCTCCAAGGGTACTCAAACAGAGCCCGACGAAAAATGTCGCTATCAGCGTGCCCAGAACTGCGAAGATTGCAATGTGCTCGATCTGGGACATGAAATTCATGTGGTTTAGAGTCCACCCGCTGGAGAAGATGATTACAGGCAGCAAACCTAGATTCAGGAACAGAGAAGTGGCTCTCATATACCAGGCAGTAGAGATCACACCTTCAGAGATCATGACGCGCAGCATGAACCCCCCGATGCACGAGACAAGAATGGTCCACGCACTCATGGGGACAGCCGCCAGGGGCCTCCACTGAGCAAACGCGGCGCCCACCAGGATGCAGAGGAGGAACCCTCCGAAGCCCGGCGCGAGCATGCTCTTCGCCACGCCGTGGTTCGTCTCCAGCACCTGAGCTACACGCAACAATCACCCCAGGCAAAGGTGCCCCTTGGTGCGCGGCGTTCAGGGTTCGGGGGCCAGGGGGGCCGTGGGGCGAGGGCCAAACTCAAGCGCGCACGGCAATGCTGGGGATGACCCCCGCTGGCTTTCCGGCCATGATTTGGGCCTCTGGCGGCCGCACGGGAATACCCGCCCAACCACAGAACCCTTTCGAAGAGGCACACATGCTGAAAAGCACCCTGAGGCCGGACAACCTGCGGAAACCGACGAAAATGCCCCATGGGCCCTGGCCAAAAATCCGTCCGAGCGAAAGGTCACTGTTCCCAGACCTCCGACGTTAACTTTTTTCACAACGTCGACCCCCAGAGGTTTAGACCACTTCCCCCAGACGAGCGTTGCATTCTGAGTTCATTTGTTGACGGTCCTGGGGCCCAGTAGGGGCCCCTCGAGGCCGAAAAAGGCCAGACACCGTCCTTCCTGACTCGCGACGCGAAAATGTCACTCTTCCGCGCAGCAGAGCGCCGAATGGCGTTCATGATCTCCGCCCGGGTGCGCTGCGAGCAACTCCGCGTGCAGCCGGCCCCGCTCCCGTGGAAGACCGGCGCTGTCCTCGTGGGGCCAGATGGCAAAGGTCCCCGCGGAGCCGTTGGGACCAAGGGGCGCCTGGTGCAGAGGCGGCTGCTGCCGCCCTGGCGGCCGCGCTGACCTTAGCCCGGCGGCGCGCCGGGGGGAAGGCAGCGGGCCTTCTCAGAAAGCTCAGAAGTCATCCTGCCGAGAAACTGTCGAAGCTTTCTACGAAATCACAGAGGGCTTCTCAGGAAGCCGAAGGGCCTCTCAGAAGCCCCGTGGCCTTCTGAGAAGGCCTGCCACCTCCCACTTACCCGTGGCGCGCCGCCGTTTAGCGGGCGAGGAAACTTGGCCACCTAACTTCGCGTACCCCGCCCCGCCATGCGCGACGAGCGACGATCTTCGCGCCCTCGCGCCGCCCCCTTCGAGAAAGCCAGACCGCGACGCCCGAAGTACGATAACCTTCGCGCCGCCAGTGACCTAGCGAACGTCATGAGGAAAATCCTGGAGACCTCGCGCGGCAACTGAACACCAACTTACGTCGGATTCACGTCGCCTTTGCGTCGGGCCATCGCCGCGTCAACGTCGTCCCATGTCTTCCGGGGCGGACATGTGGACTGGATGATGCAACCATTTCGTGCCTCGCGAAACCTCCCTCATTTCCCTCATGACAGGAAACGGTCTCAAATCATATTTCCCGCCATCGGAGACGCCTGAACAGGATGCGGCGGGGAAGGCGGTACAGCGGGATTTAGACTTGTCAATCAATCACCCTGGGACATGCGTCCCAAATGGCGGAAACTTTCATGCTGTGTACCGTTATCCGTCCGCTGGTGACCTGCCCGCCGAGGTGGGCGGCAGCCCACCGATGAGGAGCAGGAGTAGCAACAACACGCTCGGGACGCCCCCCGCGCGGTGGCATGACATGCGCTGGAGCGCCGTCCAGCAGCGCTCCGGGGCCACCCAGGGGCTGAGTGTAGTTCGTCGGAGACAATATCTACGTTGGTGGGGATCTTAGAGCTGCCGACTCGAGCCCGTGCGGCCTGACAAGAAGCGTAGACGGCGCTTACAGTGTGCCAGTTGCGATGGATGGCAACATGTCAATCATCGCGGTGTTGATGGGATGGTTGATTGGCAAATAAACAACCCCACCCCTTTGGGAACGGACCTAATTCAAGAGGCCCAACACATTAGGGATAAGGATCTTTCCAGCCAGCAGATGTACCAAAACAAAACACCAATATGGTTTTCCCCTCATGCAAAGACGGAGACCTAAGTTAGGCTACGTCTTCATTGCGTTACTGGGTGTCTTTTTGATTATCCATGAATGGTGGCTGCTGTTGTACCGAAGCGAGCGGGAGCGCAAGCATCTGGCAGTCGTTCCACGCGGGGGAGCACTACGCGAGACAAACGTAGCCGCCTGCAGAGAACGAAATAAATAAACATCGATGCGAATGGACCCTGACATCGAACTTATGAACGCCACGGGTGAAGGAGACGAAGAGGAGGATCGGGGCAGCCGAGAGAACTGGATAGCAATAACAGACTTAGCGAACCAACTGGATGCAACTGGTTTTCGCGGCGCCTCCAAGCACCAGAGGCGGCCATGGATCGAGGAGAAGGCCTGGCGGCGGAGCCGAAAGCAGTTGCACGCAGCAGACCCGGCTTGCTCGTCACAGGGCTCTCGAATAGCAATTCGGGCCCCCAGCGGCCTGTCAAGACGATTCGGGCACCTTTTTCTTATCCTTCCTCGGAGACCCCGAAGCATCATGTAACATCAGGGGCAAGCTGGGTAGCGCGAGTACTACTTCCGCCACCAGCTAACCGAGCGCCCGAGGCTGCAACTGCTCCGTCGCGCGCACGAGCGCTCGCCGCGAAAAAGGCGTGGGCAGAGCAGACGGATGACTAGGAAGAAAACGAATTCGAGGAGGACGAGGAGACGGAGGAGGGGGGAGGAAGGGGCGAGAGAAAGGGGGACCGATGGGAGGTTAGGGGGAGAAGCGGAATGAAAACAACATTGCAGCTGGACGCACATGACTCCGGCGCGTGGAGCGTGGACCCCGAAACAGTGACACTCTGCGATCAATGGGATGCAATCCTTAAGGGGCAAACTGGTGGGATACAGTGCGGAGTGAGACCTCATGGGGTCGTAACGCCGCGCACCGCCAGACAGACAGAACAACGCTTCAATGCAAGCACTGCTCAGAAAACACAAATAATTCAAAATTCACAGCGAGGCCTAGAAAACTGCGCACACTTTCCAGCAAAGTGGTTTCCCAGCGCTGCGCCAGCCATGCCAGCGTAGTGTTTTGCAAGTGCGACAGAGTGGTATGAAACTGAACCAGCTTCGTGGAGGTTTCTGACCAAACGACGCCAAGGCTGGGAAAAAAAACGAATATCGATTACCATTGCCGCGGAGCCCACTCTGAACCCACCCTCGCCACCGGGTCCCTCCACTATGCGCCCTGCGTGCGAACCCTGGCGGCCTGGCGCGTGTGCCCAAAGGGTCGCCGGGCTCTCGAAAAAGCATTATCCGCACACTCGGCTCAAGTTGAACGAAAACGGCAACCAATGCCCGTAACATGATAATATTATGGTCCTGACTTGCGACCAGGACGCGGTATTGAGGAGGCAGCGATGCCCGCATAGCGGTGCAGGTGGAGGCCTTTTAATGGGCAGCGGGTAACTAGACAAGCGCGCCCCACTGCTCGCAAAAGAATTGCTAACAGATGGCCTGGATCCCACCCCGCCGTGCGCCGCGCCACCGCCGCGGCGTGGCGGTAAAAGGCCTCACGGTGTGACGCCCGCTGCCGGGGCGCCCTCCGCAACTCCGCGCGGCGGGGCGGGCCGCCGCCGACCGCCGGGCGCCGGCGGCCCCGCGGGCGCGACGGGCCCCAGGGCCAGAGGCGCGAAGCCCTGCTCCACCACGGAGCGGACGTCGTCGGCCTCCATCCTCTGAGTGGGGTCGACCACCAGCATCCCGGTGAGCATCGCGCTGCAGGTGGGCAGCAGTGAGCGGAGCTCTGGGCGGCAACTCTTCTCCAGCATGTTGGCAACCGTGGCGGGCATCTGGAAGAAGGTCTGGATGCACTCGGTGAACGTTGTGCTTTCGCCCTCTGGCCGCACCTCTGGTTCTGCGTCCTTGATCGCGAGCTCCACCACGCGCGCCCCGCAGAATGCCTCCGCGAGCACGACGCCCAGGCTCCAGATGTCCGCTGGGCAGGGGTCGTAGGCGGGACCATCTCGGAGCACCTCTGGGGCGGCGAAAGGCACGTTGCCGCAGGGGCTCTGGCGCATCTTGCCGTCGTCCTGGATGAAGACGGAGAGGTCGAAGCCGGCCAGCTTGATGGTGATGGTCTCGGGCGTCTCATTCACGATGATATGTTCTGGCTTGATGTGTGTGAACTGGTTCATGGTGCGGTAACCGAACTCTGAATTACCGTGCCCAACTCAAGTTCACGTGCTCACTGAGGCCTCGGGTAACTTGTCGTATTTTTCTTGATTGAGATAGTAGCGTTCATCACCTCCATGTCGTTCTTCTTCTGTCACAATGCCCGTGCACGCAGTGCCAGCAAAGCGTCTGATCTTCTTACTGTCCATTCCCTGGCAATGAAAGTGACACAAGGGACGTCGACAGGCAAATCTCATGGTGAAATTCCGCTGCGTGTCAAAAAAGAGATGATGCCGTATTTGATTGTCCTTGTCGCCCACGTTGTACTCCTCAATGAACTTGGCGTGCGTACTATATCTGAGTGTTGAGAGCTTTTGCCACTCTCCCAGCGTCGCTTCTCCCAACTCCCATCGCCCTGGGCACGCTTTCAGTGCGTGGCTCCACGCGACGATTTGTTATCCTTCTGCTCTTCGCAAGTCAATGTCTCTTCCGCATCTTTCACATCTCAAGACGGTGGCCAGCGAATTGTCAAACGGGTTCGGGAAGTAGTGCATGGTCTCGTCGCCCTTCGCCGTGATGTTGTGGTATAGCCGCTTTTCTTCTTTCCTCCGATGAAAACTTGTCTTGAGACTCTTGAGGGGCTTCCTGTCATCGTCGGTCAGCACATCCGTAAAAGCAGCTTTCAACGTGTTGTGATTCGGTCTTATTCGTGGACGTTCTTTGGTTTGCAGCACTCCGTCCTTCCTCTGACCTCTACTGTGTGGTGTCTGCTTGCCTCGCACTCGTCGAGACCGATGTACTTGAGGATTTCCTTGCCAAGCTGGCTGGACACTGTGTGCTGGTAAATACTGCAACGACCATGGCTGAGGAGCTTCCAGCGCCAAACCCACCGTGGCAATATTGAAGAGAAGTGAGTTGGTCGCTTCTGGCATAATCATGCGGAGTCGACCTTGGATACCTGTGGACAGCTTGAGGCTCAGCGGGAAGAGATGCCGACATTTTTTCAGGGGTGGGATAATTACCTGTCCCTCCCTCTGCTTTTTGTCATATGTCGTGACCTCGGTTATCTTCACTCCGAACTTTCTGAACAAATTATTGGACGCTGCGATGAACATCTTAGCCTGGGTCCCTATCGAATTCCCCGAGGTTCCTGATCGTAGTGCCATATGCTCGCCCGTTGCATAGACAAAGTCGATCAGGGCCACGATCGAAGAAGTGGTGTAGGCTGCCGCGCTCTCGAATCTCTCAGGCGCAGCTGGCGGGTTGGGATCGATGTACGTATTCTGCCAATACCACAAGATCGCCTCTGCATTGCTCAACTTGTATATCCAGTCTACTTTGGTGAATCTCAAATATGTTAGCTTCTTCCCTTGGAGGTGCGGTTGGCCTGGGTGGACCTCCCTCGGCTCCCACCAGAAGTTGGGGAAAACCTGCTCTTTTTTCCCAACCATCCTGTGGTGTTGGGTCCTCGTTTTGAAGAGACGGTGCCCCGCGTTCCTCCTCCTCCCGCTGCCCCCTCCCCCCTCCTCCCATTATCCTCACCATCCTCATCATGCTCATCATCATGAGTATCGTCATCATCATCATCCACATCGTGGTTGTCGGTCATCATCATCATCATCATCACCATCATCATCATCATCATCATCATCATCATCATCGGCACACCCCTCACACGCTTCGTGGCCCCATCGGGAGCTCCACCGAAGGCCCAAATTGCTGCGTCCGCATGCCGCCGCCACCCAATTTTGGCACACCCCTCACACGTTTCGTGGCCCCATAGGGAGCTCCACCGAAGGCCCAAATGGCTGCGTCCGCATGCCGCCGCCGCCCCATTTTGGCACACCCCTCACACGCTTCGTGGCCCCATAGGGAGCTCCATCTCAGGCCCAAATGGCTGCGTCCGCATGCCGCCGCCACCCAATTTTGGCACACCCCTCACACGCTTCGTTGCCCCATCGGGAGCTCCATCTAAGGCCCAAATGGCTGCGTTCGCATGCCGCCGCCGCCCCATGTTTGGCACACCCCTTACACGCTTCGTGGCCCCATGGGGAGCTCCATCTAAGGCCCAAATGGCTGCGTCCGCATGCCGCCGCCACCATTTTTGGCACACCCCTTGCACGTTTCGTGGCCCCATGGGGAGCTCCACCGAAGGCCCAAATGGCTGCGTCCGCATGCCGCCGCCACTCAATTTTGGTACACCCCTCACACGCTTCGTGGCCCCATAGGGAGATCCATATAAGGCCCAAATCGCTGCGTTCGCATGCCGCCGCCGCCCCATTTTGGCACACCCCTCACACGTTGCGTGGCCCCACAGGGAGCTCCACCGAAGGCCCAAATGGCTGCGTTCGCATGCCGCCGCCACCCCATTTCGGCACACCCCTCACGCGCTTCGTGGCCCCATAGGGAGCTCCACCGAAGGCCCCAGTGGCAGACCTCGCATGCCGCCCGCCACGACGACAGCCCCACGGGGGACCTCACGGGCCCGCTGGTGTTCATCGAGCCCCGCACGTCGGAGCCGTTCACCTTCCGCGCCTCCAAGGTCACCCGGACGGGCTTCCCGTTTTCACACGGCAGGGTCATCACCACGGTGGCGTGCCAGGGGCGCACCACGCGGGAAGGCGGCGGGGCGGGGGAACGGCGCCACCGGGCAG